AAAAAAAAAAAAAAAAACAATTCTTCATCGCTGTCGCAAAGTGAGTATGTCTTTTTAACATTTTATTTTATTTTTCTGTGTGTATGTGCGTATATGTTGAGCTTGTGTCATTGTGTTGGTTATTTTTCCCTTATTTCGCCTATTTTTTTTCTTTTCATTTATTTTTATTTTTTCTTGGTTTACTCTCCTCTTAGCAAAAACCAGTTGAATTCCTTGGAACAGAACTTTTTAGAAACGGAATCACTAAGAGCGATACACATACGCATTCAGACAATATCAACTAAAACAAAACAATAAGGGAGCAAAGTAGGGTATATAAAAAAAAAAAAAAAAAAAAAAAGAGAGAGAGAGAGAGAGAGAGAGAGAGAGAGAGAGAGACGGATATAGCATCAATATATATTTTTTAAAAAAAAGAATTGAATCAATAGTAAATACTGACAACTTTTAAATCATGAAGTTTGGAAAACGTTTGCAGGAGGAGATGGTGGAACAGTGGAAAGACTTCTATGTCAACTACAAATCCCTGAAACACTTCATCCATCATTCCGAATTAACTGGAGCAGAGTTCAGTCATGCACTTTTTGACATGATTGCAAAGGAACTTGAGAAGCCCGAGAATTTTTTCCAAGAATTGCTGGAGGAATTACAGCAGGGCCATGATGAGTTACTCGAGCAGGATCCAGACTTACCACTCATACACCCAAGACGCACCGGGCGATTTTACCGAAAACGATTGCATCGTGAATTAACACCTTCCCACGAGTCTGGAGAGTCTACTGGGTTCAATAGTTCGCGAGATAGTTCTATGGTAGAGCAAGATACAGAACGACCAAGATGTTTTCCTTACTCTATCAAAAGTTTATTTTTAATGATTATTGGAGATTCTCATAAAAAAGAACTTGACGAACATACTCCTCGGGCTAAGTTTGTGGAATGGCACTCAAGTGCACATAAGTTACAACATTTCGCAGAATTGAATCTTGAAGCAATCCGAAAGGCTGCAAAAAAGTTAAAAAAGTATCGTCGTCGAGAAGGTGATTTTACTCTTTCTATAGAGGCAGAACTTAGTCGATCTCGTCTGGTTACACTGGTTCCCCGTTTGCACGCACTGATGACAGATATTTGTGCTGATTATGAACGGAAGTACAATGATTCACTTGAACAATACAAAAATGTGACAATGCAACAACCATATCATGCAGAATGGAGGTTTGTGTTTATTTCAGCTGCCTTATTCTGTCTTTTGATGTTTCTTCCTATTCTTTCAGTACATCCTCCTGCTCACAACTGTGTAGCACTCTTTGGACTTATCATTTCACTTTGGATTACAGAAGCCATTCCTTTTTTTTGTACTGCAATGCTTATTCCAATTGTGGCGGTTCCTCTTGGTATTATCACAGACCCACAAACCCATAACGTCGCCTCCCCCACAGTAGCTTCTGGTATTATATTGGGAAAAGTAATGGACCATGTTCAGATTCTTGTGCTTGGAGGATTAACTATTGGAAAAGCACTCGGACGTACAAATATGGAGGCATTCGCCGCATCTGCACTATATCGTTTGACAGCTCACCGTCCTGCACTTTATCTTTTGGGTGTAATGTTATGTAGTAGTTTTTTATGTGCATTCGTCTCCAATGTTGCGGCACCTTTACTTGTTTTGGGTGTTATTCAACGTACTTTATGGGAATTTCCCGAAGATACGGAAGCTCCTCATGGTATTCTCCTCGGTTTGGCTTTTGCATGCAATATTGGCGGTATGCTATCTCCTATCGCATCCCCACAAAATGCCGTTGCACTCTCAGTGCTTAGCTTTCATGAGGTGACGTTTGCAGCATGGGTGATTATTGCCCTCCCTGTTGTACTCTTCTGCGTTATTGCATCTTGGGTCATTATTCTTGTTGTATGGAAACCCTTTAAAGATGTCTCAAGTATTCCATTACAAGTAGTTAATGTGGATGTGGGCAAGGAAGCAACGCTTACAGACCGTGTGGTTGTAGTGACGGTTTCACTCATTACCATCATTCTTTGGATTATTACACCAAATTTTCTTTTTGGTGATACTGGGGTTGTTGCACTGATTCCCATCGTCGTCTTCTTTGGTACAGGCATATTAGCAAAAGAGGACTTTAACACTTTGTCGTGGCATCTCATGTTTCTTTTGGCCGGCGGAAATATGTTAGGTTTGTGTGCACGTGATTCAAAAATGTTGGACATCATCGCTAATAATTTACATGACACTTTGATTAGTCAACCACCTTATTTGACTCTTGTAATTATTATTGCTCTTGTCGCACTCATAACAACGTTTGTTTCGCACACTGTAGCTGCCATGGTTCTTCTTCCTATTATTGTAAAGATAGGCTTCTTGTTGCCCAAACAGGAAGGTCTATTCGCTGTATCGCCTGCAACTATTGTTTTGCTAAGTGCTCTGATGTGTTCTGGGGCAATGGCGTTTCCAATCAGTTCGTTTCCAAACGTAAATTCGCTTCTAGCGGAAGATTCTTCTGGTAGACCGTACCTCAAAGCGAAGGATTTTCTTTTCTGTGGGACACTTATTACGCTTCTCTTCTTTTTCTGCTTCATCACGTGGATGGTGCCGTTAACCTACGCTGTTCTTGAAGGTAAGTAGTATTCCAATCCTTCTCTGGAGGGTGGTAGTAATAGTGGTAAAGTGAAGGTGATGGTGCTGCTTAGGATGATTATAAGAAGAAAAAAAAAAAAAAAAAAAAAAAAAAACGAAGAAAATAAGAATTTTACCTTTTTCATGTTGCTAAAGGAGTTTTCCGGTTGTTTTCCTCAGCCTCTTCTTTTACCCCGCATCTTTGTTTTTTTTTTTTTTCTCTTTTCTTATTACTGTTCCTTTTTATTTATTTATTTATTTATTTATTTGTGTTTCGGAAAAAGAAAAAAAAATCATTTTTACACGTTGATGTCCTAGTACAGCTTTTTTTTTTTTTTTACTCTTCAAGACGCTTTTTTTTTTTTTAATTCTATTGTGAAGACAAATAGTGTCATGGGTACAAAAACCTAGTCGCTCCGCAGTTTTTGCACATGATCATCTATAATGTGTCCGTTTGTTTAAAAACCAGAAGAGAGAAATATTGGGTTCTATTTCCTTTGATCTGTCTATTTGTCTGATGTAAACGCCTCATGTGGAACTATCTGTCTGCACATTCCATGATATTAACGTTGCGCTTGATCTGGATTGAAAAAAAAAAAAAAAAATCGCATCATACCCATACAAACATACGTACAAGTGCATACGCTTCTTCTATTTCTCTTTTTTTATTTCCTGTATTCTTCTTCTTCTTTGTAGGGGGTGGAAGTAGAGCAAGTAGAGAGTCCATTAGATGACGGCATCGTTGGTGAATCTAGACATCTGCGCGTCGCTCTACGATCTGGCCAACCTGCCCCGTGGAGTGCCTTGTGAAGATAAAGTTCTCATGTGCCGCGTGGAGTGGGTGTGCGCCCCACGGGCCCGGGAATTCCACGCCGGCCGGGTGTTTAACGTCTGCGGGCGTCTGCTCGACGGGGATCTTGGGGCCTCCAGCAGCAATAACAACAATGATAATAACAGTGATGGTGCTGCTCATGTGTATTTCCACGACGAGTGGGCCGCCGCCGCTGCATTCGTGGAGGCCGGCGATGTTGTGGTGTTGGAAGGCCTCGTCGTGCAGAATGCCCCACCAGGCGCCGCATTTAACTTCTTCGCCACGCCCATCCCGCAAGTGTCGACGCTGCGAGTTCTGCAGAATAATCTCCAGGGGGACATCATGGAGGTCATGGTGCGGGCAGATGCGCTCGACGTTCCGTCCGTGCGGGTCCTCCCAAAGACGCTGCTTGCTCCTTTTGTGTCAAGTGATGTAAATAAAAGAAGTGCTCTTCCTCAGCGGGATGCCATCAAAAGAGAGGGCGAGAAAGATAGAGAAAAGGGGAAGAATGTAGCAAACCCACACGCTTTAGATTAAAATTCATCTGATTCAGCGGAATTTTTTTTTTTTTTTTCGTCTTTGTAGTTGACAGTGGTGAATGGTATACGTGGTTTTGTTTTGTTCTTCTTTTTTTTCTTAAATGTTGTTGTTGTTGTTACTGCAACGGGAAATAGGTTTTCTTGTTTACATTACTCTATGCTTATCTCTGTTTTTTTTTTTTAATTTTTTCTCGTCATGCTCATATATATATATATATATATATATATATATATATATATATATATATNATATATATATATATATATATATATATATATATATATAACCAAGGTGGACTGAAGTTTTCCATGTCATTGAAAGTATGGGTTAAACGTGGCGGTGTTAGCGACGATGAGGCGCTTGGAATTTACGTCCCTGTGAACGGAACGGCTCAGAGTGTTGTGGAGGCGTGCCGTCGTGTTTTTCGGCATCTGCAGCCATCAGAGGTGGCGCTGCGCACAGAGGACGGCATCATTGTTGCGATGGCTTCCCCCGTCACCGCCCTTCAGAGCCACACGCTAGAGATTGTTGAGATGCCTCAGAGAGAAGTGACAGGAAAACACAGTGGCGCTCCAACTCTCAGAGTTTCTTCACGCATTAGGAGAGAACCAGTTCCACAGAAACAACAACTAGAGCGAAAAAATGTACGTGTAGTCCCTTTTGGAGTTACGAAAAAAACGCAATCATCACAAAAAAAGGAAGCTGTTGGTGCCTTACCACAAAACCACAAATATAGCTCTTCTGCTCCTGAGGTGAGGAAGGAACCTGTTAGTGTGAACGAAAGTCTTGCTCTCTTATGGGCTAGTATCCCATCGTTCACACCTGAATCCCTGAATAGAAGTGTACCAGCGGTAGAGAAGGCTTTGCAAACCGCGCAGTACATTTATGTAACTGACTCATATAAGTTGTTAGCAGAAGAGCACGTCCCCCCTAACGTGTCATCATCTGTAAATGAAGAGGAGGATAAGCAACTCAATACCCTGGAGACACCCTCTCCGGAGAATAATGAGTTACCAGGTAATCTTGATACACATACAAATAATGAGAGTCATGATAATGTGATTCACAGTTCTGACATTACATGCGGTAACTTTACAGGGAGAGAGATAATGATGGAAGAGATGCACACAGTTGAAAAGTCTGATGTACCACCTTCTGGTGAGGTCTTGAAAACTGTAGTGAATACAGATGAGGTTTCTTCTTTTAGTAACAGTAGCATGCTACAAGGCGAAGCTAACGTTTCCGAAGTAGTGCCTACTGTCAAAGAGGAACCAATACTAATGGAAGAGAAAGGAACATCTACGACTATCACCACTGCAGAGACAGATTGCTGCGATGTGGTAGATGAAAGTAATATTAACATCACTGACGCTAACGTTAGAGCAGTGGAGGAGAAAAAGGAATTAGAGACAGGGTGTGAAGTTATTATGGACTCGTCAGAGCAAGATGCTACCTATTTTGATGAGTGGTAGTATACTGAGATGAAGTGCCCTTCTGGAGACGACGTCGTCACCTCATCAAGTTCTTGCATCTTCACATTTACTCTCCCTCCTTTTTTCTGTTTTTTTTTTTTTTTTTTTTTTTTTTT